CGGGACTTGAAGAGCTCTAAATCAGTTTTACAGAAACAGTGCAGGGTCACGGTTAATCATCTTGTAGCTGTGCTTTGTGATAAATCATTAAACTGAAACAAACACATTTCTGGGCTGAAAAACAGCTTTTATGCTTACCTTCACTCCGTTTGGTCCACTGGGACCAGCAGGTCCAATGGGACCAGGAAGCCCCTGGTGCAATTACATGAGGAAATATATTAGACATAATTTAGACATATATTAGTCTTTGCAGGCTGCAGGTAGTGAATTTTATTTTTAGTTTTATTAGTAGACTATGATTTCATATGTTGTTTTTCACATTAACAGTCTTGATTTTGTCTTTGATTTATATTTGGATTTAATCACAAACTTGCTTCAGGTGAAGTGAAATATTTCGACACACAGTTTTTTCATCTGCAGTAAGGATCGCAGTTATGGGGACTCACCCTCGCTCCATCAGCCCCCGCCTTTCCCTCTGGTCCTTTTTCTCCAGTAGCGCCCTGTTAGAACAAATCAGGTTCATTTAATGGTTTCTTAGTTTTCCCTCCTTTGGTTCTGATGATCCCCAATATCTCGAGGTCTCACAGTACCTTACATTTTGCTCCTCTTACAGTCATGCTATTGGTAAAACTGCTGTCTTTTTCTTTGGAGATGGTGTAATGAATGTATTCTTTAACTTACAGCATCTCCCTTTGGGCCTGAAGATCCGGATATGCCTCTTTCTCCTGGGATCCCCTGAAGTCCTGGACCTCCTGGCTCTCCAGCAGCACCCTTGGGTCCAGGGCTACCCTAAAATGTGCAAAGTAAGCAGCAAGGCTTATTATAAACAATTTAATGCAAGCAATGACTCTTTTTGTTGTTCAGGGTTAAGCATCAGTAGTTTTATGGTTACCATACCTTTAGCCCATCTGGTCCGGGTGCACCTGGACTACCTTTTGGTCCCTGCAGCCCATTGGGCCCAGTTTCACCTCTTTCTCCTGGAGAACCTCTCTCTCCCTGCAAGAACAACCAAAAGATAAGTTTATACATTTATTTCTTATTGCAGGGGTGTCACACATATGGGGCCCAGAAATGGCCCCTGGAACAACTCCTGAGACTGATCTCAGGGATTAAATGTGCAATGTTGTTGCACATGTTAAACTCCTTTGTACTGACAGAAAGGGGTTTCACTGGATGAGCCCTCTTAAGCTCAGACTGGGCTGTATGTGGCCCAAGATGTGTAAAATTAGTTTGACATCCCTATCCTATTGCATTGAACAAAAAAAGTATGTGTAAGGTTAGCGATAACCGCTGAGGCTAAAAAATCAAGAAGGAAGTTGCAGTTTCACAAATGGCCACTAGAGGCTTGTTCCAAATTTAGTCAAAACCCAGAGAGTTGCATGTTAAAAGGTTTAACTTTAAACATATGAACAAATTGACCAATAAAACTCCACCTCCAACCTAAAGAAACATCTGGAACTAAGTTCTTTTTAAAAAACTAACATTAGCCTACTGCAAAAACCTTGTTTTAGTTGTGGTAGCTACCTGGGTTATGTGCCACTTCAGTATCTTTGATGTACTATTGTTGTGTGATTTATTACTATTACTAAAGGCTGCATTACAACCTGCTAGCTGCAAATAATCATGTGCAGTTCTGAAAGCAGATATATTACTGATACAGAAATAGTTTTCTCTTCGAGATCACTGCAAAAAGTGCAGCCTTACCTAATGTCCACCCTACTGTTACTCATTTTATATTAAGATTTAAAAATGTAGTTGGTATTGCTTTCAGAACTGCACATGATTATTTGCAGCTAGCAGGTTTTTAATTCTATCCATCAAGTCTAACAGTCTGCAGTCCATGAACTAACCTCAGCTAACGCCAGCTAACAAAGTTAGCTCGGTGGCGAGTAGCCTTCAGTAATAGAAATCACACAGCAATAGTACATTCATGTAGTTGTAAAAAGCATGATAATATATCAAGTAATCCAAAGTATTCAGAATACGTTACTCACATTAAGTAACTTAACGGCCATGTATTCTGTAATCTGTAGCATTTTAAATGTAACCTTACCAACACTGGATGTGCTTAGTGCTAACGTGCAACAGTTTTCCAATTTCATTGTACTATCGTACTAAGTATGACTGTGCAATGACAATAAAGAGTTATCTTTATAAGTTATCTTAAGTAAATCTGTTTTGCTGCATGTTAATCTAGAGGTTTTGACATTTTATAAAATATGAACAAGTTAAAAAAAAGAACATTTTGTATTGGCTGTTTTTTCACATATAATAATAATAATAGATGCATCTTTTAATTAAGTTAATCCCATTTTATACAATTTTAGGATATATTTTCATTTCTGTTCTAAAAATCCTTTCAGACTGAAAGCCTGAAAACCTTTTTAAAACTTTTGTCATTGGTTTCGATTTCAAGAAGAAACTCAACTACTAAATCATCAATAAGTTATGAAACTAATATTTGTTTTCTATTTTAGATCCTTAACTCTTACAGCTCATCATCATTAGCTGGAAACAAGTTCAACCGAAAAGAAAAGTAAAATTTAACAATCATCAGACGATCAAAATCAATCAATGAAAACACAAAGGGATGCACCGAAATTCTTATTCATACGATGAGTAGTGCTATGGGTGGGTTAGAGAAAATGTTCATGTTTCAAGCTGGACTGTGATGATCTGAAGTTTCAGAACTGAGCAATAGAAAAGTGGAAATTGGACTAACGGACTTACTCTTGGTCCTGTAGCGCCAACTTCCCCAATCTCTCCTGCAAGACCCTACAAAAAAAAAAAACATTAAGCAGATTTTACATGCTGTATAGAAGTCCCTGCACAATTTATATTGTGTGGGTTAACTTGAAAAATATTTTTAAAATACCCAAGTCGTACCTTGTCACCTGGCTTTCCTGACTCTCCAGGTGGGCCTGGTGTTCCGGGCAAACCCTAAAAACGCCCCAAACAGTTTTTATTTTATTTGATAATCATAAAAACAATAGAGAAGAACTTCTTGTAAATGTTCTTCTCTGTGCTCC